TGTCTGTGTCCATGAGTTATGCATATATGCATATAGATTCTTTGGTTAATCTCTCCCCACCCACTCACACCCACCTTCCCTCTGAGATTCATCAGTCTGTTCCATGCTTCCATGTCACTGAATCTATTTTGTTCATCAGTTTATTATGTTCTTTAGATTCCACATATAAGTGAGATCATGTGATATTTGTCTTTCTCTGCCTGGCTTATTTCGCTTAGCATAATATTCTCCAGGTCCACCCACAGAGATTACACCTTTATCACACGGATACTCTTCATCCCCTGAAAACCAAAACAATATTGTTTGTTCCTGAGTCTCTCACCAAAATAACCCCAACATATTCAACTTAAATCTTGTCTAGCCATAGTGTTCAAACATTGATCAAAAAGGCCAGGTGAGTATTATGTGTATGTGGAGTATGGGATGGGGAGGTAGATGGAAGTGAAACACCGTTTTTGCTTCTCTGCCCCAGTTTTCATTTTCTTTTCTATCATGCAGAACATTTCCTCTTCAGCAATTTTCCTCATGTAACTAGAATCCTTTCAAACATGGCCTCACCAGTTAATCATGTATGCCTAAATCTGTTTGAATTGTGGTTCAGGAACAACTTAACTTATAACCAGATACTTATATTTCACTTTGACAGCCCAATAGCTGGCAAAGTGACTGGCATGCAAAGACATTAAGTAAATACTTAATGAATGAATGAATGAATGCTAGTCCCCCTATTTACATCAATTGATTGATGAATTAGTATCTTAGCTCTGAGTATGAAGATGAGGATTGGGGATGGTAAAAAGATGAGCAGACTGGATTGCAGAGAAATAGACACTCTTCCTACCATCCCCCATCATTACTCCTTATCCCATTTTTTGTATGGCAGTTACAGGGAATAATTATAAAAAAATATTTAAAAGTTTCACAGACAGAAGGAGAGAAATTATTTCCTAAACTGGACAGATAGAAATTATTTCCTAAACTGGACAGACAGAAGTGGAATATTCTTAGATAAAGCTACATCTACAGGAAATGAGGAAAGGAATTGTGAATAAATGTCACTGTGTCAGAGAGTGATGAATTGCCTGAAGTTTTGTGAACAGTGATGAAGAAGATAAATCAAAGATATGGGAACCCACAAAAGTAGTATTGGATAACTGAAAAGTACTTTGGGGAGTTTACTATCCAGAATATTTAGATGTTATACTGAGATGTTCCCTATTAGAATCTACACCTTCATTTTTCCATAAATATTTTGTTGTATGAAAAGAACAGAACAAGCAAAATATCTATGAATATAGCACTAGAAAGATGAATTTACACAATTTCTCAGGGAGCTTCGAGATCTTTTTGTTACAAATTATGTCACAAGAAGGTGATTCCAGGGGAGGAAACAAGGTGGTGCCTAGGTAACAGCTGTACCCTCCACCTCCTGCAACCACATCAAAATTACAACTAAAATACAGAACCACCATCACTCAGAACCTCCTGAAATCTGGCTGAACAGAAGCCTTACAACCAGGGAATTGAAGGAGCATCGAGAGCAGTAGGAGGGGCGGAGACGTGGGCAGATAGGGGCTGAATCGCGGAGCCTTGGCCATGGGCCCACAGCTGGTGCCGCAGTTTAAACCCAGGAAGAACGATTTGGCAGTGGAGGTTTTCCGGAGGATCGAGGGGTCCCAGCCCCACATCAGGCCCCCAGCCCAGGGCTCCAAGGCCGGGAAGAGACGTCCCCACAACTTCAGGCTGTAAAACCAGCGGGGACTGTGGCTGAGGGTCGCAGAGGGTGCAGGAACCCCAGGCTTTCCTGTAAGGGCCTGTGCACAGACTCATTTGGATGCACTCCCTCTGAGCCCCAGCGCTGGGCAGCAGCCTGAAAGGACCTGGGACACTTGGGGAGGAACTAACCTGCCTGAAATTGTGGTGAGAGGTGGAGGGGCAGCTTCCTCCCAGGCAGAAGAGCTGGTGGAGGCCATTGCTCCTTTGGAGAGCCCTCCCCCCACAAAGCCGGCAGGCAGGCGCCATATTTGAATCTCCAACACCTTTGGCCCCACCCTGGTGATTTCCAGAGACACCCCCCCTTTGCTACCAGCAAGCTCATCCAAGCCATTTCCAGTGGCTTTTCTATGCAAGTGGCCTCTCGAGCCTCATGCTTAGGACTTTCCTGAAATCTCTCAAACAAGCAGCAGCATGCCCCATATGTCATGATAAGTGGCCCCAGGCCTGGCACCAGCCTGCATTGGTTCATAGTTTGGCCTCTCCTGGGCACCTCCAAGCCCAACACAAGTAGCGGCCAACTACAGTTTGCTGTGTAGCTCATGCTGGGTGGCCCTGGGCAAGGCACTAGCAGAGGCTGACTTTGCACCTCCCGGGAGGCCCCAGAAACAGTGCACCTGGTGGTCAAACTCGACCATGCTGGATTACAACCCTACCATATCCACGAGTGACACACTCAAGGGGCACACTTGGTGAACACCAAAGCTCCACTGAAGTAAATCCTGCTCCATAGGGGTGT